GTTTTGGACAGGGCTGTGTGGGTCTGGATGTCTCTGGGCACTGGGACCCTCGGTTTTGAGTATGGCTGTGTGAGTCTGAATGTCTCTGGGCACTGGGACCCTCAGTTTTGGACATGGCAGTGTTCTGGCAGCAACAATCCAGCTCCCCACGGCTCAGAGGTGGGACAGCTTGAACAGCACCTGGCAACCAGCTGGAAGCCAGGGCTGCCTCAGGGCTCCAGCCCAGGGATGTCACCATCTTGCACAGGGCTCTTGGAGCATTTGGTGTGTGTTTTCCCTCCACTCTTTGTAACAGGACCTTCTCAGAGCAAACAAAGGCACCAAAGAGCTGCTTGTTCAGAACTCCTGGATCCACCAGGGAAAAAAAAAAAAGCCCAGGCTGAGCCCCTGGGTCACCTCCCCATGGAGAACAGGTAGTGGGGCTGTGCCTGCACAGCAGATGCCCCCTCTGTTATTCCCATTGGTGAGAGGGAGACTGCCTGGGGCTGGAGCACAGGCTGGACCCGAGGGCAGACATTTGGGGGTACTGGGCTGTCCCTCTCTCTTCCCCACTTGGTGCTGTCAGAGTTTTGGCAATGTGTGAGCTGGAGGGTCATTGTGCCCATGGCTCTGCAGAGCTGGAGCAGTGACAGGGAATGGTTTCCTGAGCTCAAAGCAGGCCCGTGGGAGGGCCAGGCTGATGCCATGAGCTGTCTCCTGCCACCGCCATGTGTGTAGGTTGGACTCCTGCAGACCACAACAAACAGACCCAAGGAAGTTGTCAGGAAGGCGAATCACCTGCCTGTCCTCAGACTGCCACAGCTCTGGGTGTGAAAGCCCAGGCTCAGTGAGGAGGAACCGAAGCTGAACTGCTCCTCTGTCCAGAATGGGCCTTGGGGCCTGGCACAGAGAGCAGGCAGCACACCGGCCTCAGGTAGGAGACCCTGCTGGGAGAGCTCCATCCAAACCTGAGGCTCCCTCCTGTGTGCTCAGGCAGCTGGCAGAGTGCAGGAAATCCCAGTGGACTGCTGGGAGCCTCCGGGCAGCCCTTGGGGGGCAGAGCTGGGGTGGTGTCTGTCCATGAGGTGACACCCAAGGTGCCCCTTGGCCAGCGGGGTGTCCCAGCACCGCCACCTCCTGAGCTGTGCCTCAGGTGCAGGAGGGGCAGAGCTGGAGCTGGTCATCCAGGGGGAGGAGGCAGCTGTGTGTGTGTGGCAGGGCTGGAGCAGAGCCAGGCAGCAGCTCCTCCCTCCGGTCCAGGCGCAGCTGGGGAGGGTGGCACCTCCTGGGAAAACTCCGCCTGGCTCTTGTTCCTCTCAGTGGTTACCGTGTGACTGACCCTCTGTGCCCCTCTGTGCCCGCAGTGTACGTCGTGGAGGAGCGGCGGAGGGACGACACGGGCGAGAGCGCCTGCCTGACAGCCTGCTGGACCGCGCTGTGCTGCTGCTGCCTCTGGGACATGCTGACCTGAGCCGCCCGCCGCCCGCAGAGCGCTATGCAGCCTCCCCACTCCTGCCCCCCGACTTCTTTTTTTCTGTTACTGTAATCAACTGCTCTGCTTTGCACAGCCAAGAGGTTCCCGTCTGTCCGTCCTAGCGCCTTGTCGGGGGTGGGGGGGTGCAACTCCTTTATTTTAGTAAAGGAAAAGGAGAAAAAAAAAAAAAACCCTTTTTAACATTTCTAAGACTTTTGTTGTAACTTTGAAGAATGTGCTGATGGTGTATTTCAGCCAAAGGCATTCTGATGAAATGTATATTTACCAGTTGAGATTTTCCTAGCCCTAGAGACAAAGACATACGCAATAATTAAAGCCAACAGTTGATTTTCTTCGCTAGGTCCCGGCTGTTTCAGTCAATCTGTCCGTGCAGGGGCAGTGTCCCCTGGTGCTGTCTGTCCTCAGCCCCCCGCGGGCACTGGCTCTGCAGGTGGGAGTCCTGGGTCTGGCACCTCCAACCCCCTCATCCCACACCGGGCAGCACAATTGGGTTTTCATCCCTCGGGACTGGGCGGGCACGTCCCCTTCTGGGACCAGCGCCCTCTCCAGCAGCTCCTGGAGAAGCACAGGCTGAGCTGCTGCAGCTCTTGGGGAAGGACTGATCCCAAGCTGTGATCCGTCATCCCCTGCTGCAGAGCAGGGGGTAAATTAATGGGTAAGAAGATACAAGGCCATGGATTAATTTAGTGCAGAAGATTTAGAGCTGAAGCTGTTCCATGGCACGCCTGGCCAGAAGAGGGATAAAAAGCTTTTGTCTGCAGAAAAGTGGGAAAACCTGCTGCTGGTCCCAGGGAGTCACATCCTACTGCCCCCCCAGCCTTGGGACCAAACCTGATGCACACACCAGCTTTGCTTTGCAGTGCCCGGAGAACACCCAGGGATCTTGGATCTGTTTGCAAGGGGCACTGCTCTCGCTGTCCCTCAGATGGCCCTGGTGCTCTGTGCACCTTGACTCAGAGCTCAGCAGTGCAAGTTTGGGGCTCTGGTCTGGGGTTTGGAGTGGATGAGAGCCCCTGGCAGCTGCCTGTCCCCAGGAGCCTTAATGCCCCTTTCCTGCCCCCCTGCAGCCCTAAGCTCAGCTCTGTGGCTGGGTTCCCAGAGCTCCCAGGAACGGGTGCTGTCACCTTCCCTGTCACTGTCACCTCCCTGGCAGCTTGGCAGCTGCAGGGGCACAGGAGGGGAGTCCCTGGCTCACCCTCCTCCGTGGGTGGGAGGGAAGTGGAGTGTTGGGTTGCTCTGTGCCCATGACCCTCCATGCCCCCTCCAGCCCTGTGCTCCCCCCTGCCCCCAACCTGGCCTTGCCTCTTCCCAGCCAAGGGAATGGCTCTGTCCCTGCCAGGCCCGAGGGAGCCCCAGCCCTGCACACTCCCCTCAGCTCCTTGCCCTGTCTTGGGTGCAGCAGGAGCTGCTCTCAGCAGGGGAGGGGGTGAGGACTCTGTTTTCCTGCTCTGGCACCTGTCCCAGACACCAACCAAGTGGCTGCAGCAGCACTCTGGGTGCCACAGTGCCCGTCCTTGGGGACAGGCAGGGCACGTCACATCTCCCATGCTCCAGCAGGAAGGGCCACCCCAGCTCCCAGCACCCCAGCTGCCTGGGCTGTGGGAGAGCTCAGGCTCTGCCAGTCCCCAGTGGGCCTGGGCACCCCTTCCCCATCCCAGTGCCAGGGCAGGGCAGAGGGTGAAGCTCTGGCAGCCTCTGCAGTGGGGAGTCTCTGGCCACTGCACCAGAAAGGGGCTGACCCACCTGGCCAGTCCTATGCCCTGCAACCCAAATGGGGACAACCTGACCCAGGGCCCACCTGTTTCCCCACCCCAGCACCTGGAAGAGACGCCAGGACACATGGAAACCGAGGTTGGGAAGTGGCAGATGTGGCTGCTCGCAGTGGGTGATGGGATGAAGCAGGTCTGCACACACACACAGGAGCTCAGAGTCCCCCTGGGAAGGGAGCCCACCCACAGCCCACCCAGGGGCCTCCCAGCCCCACCAGCCCCTCACAGGCCCATCCCCAGCCCTGGCAGAGCCCATGGGCACAGTGCAGGCAGGAACCCGACCAAGATGCCTTGTTCAGGGCCTTTCCCAGGACTGCCCCACAGAGCTGCAGCCCCGTGTCCAGCCTACAACCCATCCCAGGGCAGCCTCCAGATCACCTGTGGGGTTACAGGGCTGATACCTGGGAGTGGGACACTTACTTGGATGCAAACTGTTTGGGATTGCACAGGACTTGTTATGGGATGTTTCGGGGAGGCCCCCAAGGTGCAGGTGATTTTTAGGAGGAAGTGTGGGAAAGCAGTGAGGTGTGGGGCCCTGCAGGGTGTTGGTGACCCCCTGGTCATTGCTCTTGTCCAGCACCTGATCCCCCCAGTCTGTCTGAGCTTATCGAATTCCTCCCAAACGCTCTCCCGCCCGGGGCTCCCTCCCTGCCCGTGTGTGTGCAGGGTGTGAGAGCTCCAGGGAGGAGCGGCCCCGTGTCCGTGGGGCAGCCGTGGGATCACCGGCGGAGGTGACACGGGACCCGCTGGTGACACAGCTGGTGGTTTGGGAACCCGGGGGCAGCGAAAGGCCGTCCCAAAGTGTGGCAGCAGCCGCGTGCCCGTGGGATGAGAGCGCGGGGGTCGGCACAGGACCGGGTAACTCCTGCCCGGCTCCAAGATCCCGGGAGGAGCGGGCGGGGGCCGGGCAGGTGCAGTTCCCGCAGGGGCCACACGGTGGCGATGTCCCCTCGCGCCCGGGAGTGCGGAGCGACCGGGACAGCGGGAATGGCCGGGAGAGAGGGAATGGCCTGGGACAGTGGGAATGACACGGGAGAGAGGGAATGACACGGGAGAGAGGGAATAACACAGGACAGCGGGAATGGCCTGGGACACTGGGAATGACACGGGAGAGAGGGAATGGCCCTGGACAGCTGGAATGGCCGGGAGAGAGGGAATGACAAGGGACAGTGGGAATGGCCCTGGACAGCTGGAATGGCTGGGAGAGAGGGAATGACACGGGACAGCGGGAATGGCCTGGGACAGTGGGAATGACACGGGAGAGAGGGAATGACAAGGGACAGCGGGAATGGCCGGGAGAGAGGGAATGACACAGGAGAGAGGGAATGACACGGAAGAGAGGGAATGGCATGGGACAGCAGGAATGGCCTGGGACACTGGGAATAACACAGGAGAGAGGGAATGACATGGGACACTGGGAATGACACGGGACAGCGGGAATGGCCTGGGACAGTAGGAATGACACAAGACAGCGGGAATGTCCTGGGACAGTGGGAATAACACGGGAGAGAGGGAATGGCCCTGGACAGCAGGAATGGCCTGGGACACTGGGAATGACACAGGACAGCGGGAATGGCATGGGACACTGGGAATGACACGGGACAGTGGGAATGGCCTGGGAGAGGGAAAGGCACGGGAGAGCAGGAATGACCGGGACAGCAGGAATGACACAGGAGAGTGGGAATGGCCCGGGAGAGTGGGAATGACCCAGGAGAGAGGGAATGGCCCAGGACAGCAGGAATGGCCTGGGACAGCAGGAATGACCAGGACAGCTGGAACGGCCCAGGAGAATGGGAATGGCCCAGGACAGTGGGAACAGCCCAGGACAGCAGAAATGGCCTGGGACAGTGGGAATGACCACCCAGCATGGGCTGGCTGGGTCCATGCTCATGTCCGTGTTCCATGACCATGTCTGTGCCCATGCCCATGCCTATGTCCATATACATGCCCATGTCCATATACATGCCCATGCCCATGCCCATGTCCATGTCCGTGTCTGCCCGTGCCAGCCCTCCCAGCCTCCCTCTTCCCCCCACCACTGCTCTCCAGCAGGACCCCTCCACCAGCCTCCCCCAGTGCCCACGCTGGGCAGCACTCAGGGGGTGTCTGCAGGACGAGGGCACAGCTGCTCCAGGGCAGCAGGATTCCCTGCAGGCCACTCACCCCAAATCCCACCACACCCCCCCGGGAGAGCAGCCAGAGAGACACGAGTTTTATTGAGGTGGGGAAGGAGGGGGCAGGCTGTGGGGATCAGCCCAGGGCACCCAGGGGTGCCACTACTGTGCCCTGCGGGCCATCAGCATCTCCCGGATATTGTCTTCTGCTTCCTTCACACTCCGCTCCAGGTACGACTTCTTCTGCTGCAAGGCAGAAAGCAGAGGAGAGTCAGGGTCCCCCAGCACACACCAGGGCCCACGGCCACCCAGGCAGAGCTGACCCAGCCACCCCCCACCCTGGCGGTGTCCCCACGTGGGGACAGTGGTTACACGTTCCCAGAGGCACAGGGGCAGTGGAAATGTTTTACACAGACTTTGAATTTTGTTCCCACTGAAACCTCCTCTGCAAAAAAGTGGGAGAAATGAACCACAGCAAGGAAGGAAATCAAATCAGATCCTGTAACTCCTGGAGCCCAGAGAGGGACTGCTGAGGCCTCCTTATGGAGACACAGCAAAACTCCCTCCTTGGGCACAAAAGGCTCTTTTTCCCAGCTAGGCCATTTTCTAACCCCAGACCCTCCTTTCTATCAGAAATTCCCTGGCATAGTCACCAAATACGTGTGTTTCCTTAATCATCTGTAATTAGGCTGGGCTTGGCAGGGAAGCAGCCCCAAGCCGTGCATCCCAAGATAGGAATTCAGCATGCAGCGTTTTTTCCTGCTAGTCTGGGTGCTCCTCTGTGACTGGAAAAATCAGCACTTGGCTCTCCTGACTATTTTCTCTGGGTTTCCAAACAACAGACACAACAGTCTCCTCCAGCAGCGTTGCTGTGAGCAGGGGTGGGCCCACTCCATGACTGGATGGGGGGCCTTGGGAATCTCCCCAGAGCTGGGCTCACCCTCGGTGGCACCTGCAGCACCACTGGCACAGGGTCTGCTGTCCTCACAAGGGGCTGGGGGACACTTTGGCACAGCCCCACACAAGCCCAGGGAGCTTGTATTGATAAGCACTGGCAGGATTGTTATTGAATTCCAGAGTCCAGGTCGCAGCCCAGACCATCCTGCCATGGGCACCTTCCCAGGAGGTGAGCACCAGGAGCCCAGGATGGCAGGAATGGCCCCCAAAGGCCACCCAAACCAAGCACAGGTGAAGGGCAAGAACAGCTGATGCTGCCCTGAGAGCCTCACCCCAATTCCTGTGATCCCACAGGATCACAGGACCTCTGTCCCTCCATGGACCACTGTCCCTCCATCCCCTGCTGTCACATGGCTGCACACTCAGCTGGAATGCCTATGCCATGAGGACAACCCTCCCAGCCCTGTTCCTAAAGGCTGAAGAGTTTTTATTTAAACACTAAAGGTTGTTGGTGACATCCAGGGCCAGGGATACAGCCAAGGAAGGGCTCCTTGTCCCT